CAGCAGCCAGAGCCCAGCAGGTCGAGGCTGCGGCGGCCGGGAGCGGCCACTGCACTCCAGTCTGGGCGACTGAGTGAGACTCCAATTCAAAAATAAATAAATAAAAATAAAAATATGCTATTTCTGTTAACATATACTGAGATTTGTGTTAAATGAATTAACACATAAACATATCATTATTTATTATCATTATTATTTTTTGAGTCAGGGTCTCACTCTGTCACCCAGGGTGGAGTGCAATGGTGGGATCACGGTTCACACAGCCTGGATCTTCTAGGCTCACGTGATCCTTTCACCTCAGCCTCCCAAGTTACAGGCATGCACCACCATGCCCAGTCTACATATATACGGCAAGACCTCATCTCTACAATATATCAAAAAATTAGCCAGGCACCATGGCATGTACCTTTAGTTCCAGGCAGAAGGATCGCCTGAGCTCAGCAGGTTGAGGCTGAGGTGGTGGTGAGCATGCACTCCAGTCTGGGTGACAGAGTGAGACTCCACCTCAAAAAAAACCAAACAAACCCAAAAACACGGGCACAGTGTGCTACCATTGGTATAGTTATAAATGCATGCATAGGTAATATACACATATATGCTCATAGATGCATAGGCTGTCCCTGAAATAGCTCATATAGTGGCCAACATGGCCTTACATGATCTAACTTGTCCCTTGGCACCTTGTCACAACCCTCTGACTCATCTCTCCCTTTCACTCCATACTACTCAGACTGGCCACCTTTGCTGTTCCCAGAACACCCAAGCATTCACCTGGCTTAGGGCTCTGCAATGGCTGTCAGGAAAGTTCTCTGTCTAGATGTCTACCTTTCAAAAGAGGATCACTTTTTCCTCTCTTCAAGCCTTTGCTCAAATCTTACCTTCCCAGTGAGGCTCACACTGACCGCCCTACTTAAAACTATATCCTGCTGGGTGCGGTGGCTAAGCCTGTAATCCCAGCACTTTGGGAGGCCAAGGCAAGAGAACTGCCTGAGCCCAGGGGTTCAAGACCAGCCTAGGCAACTTGGTGAGACCTCGTCTCTATAATAAATCAAGAAAAACCAGCCGAGCATCGTGGTACACCCCTTTAGTACCAGCTACTTTGAAGGCTGAGGCGGGAGGATCGCCTGAATTCAGAAGGTTGAGGTTGTGGTGGCTGTGAGCATGCCACTGCACTCCAGCCTGGGCAACAGAGTGAGATTTCAACTCAAAAAAAACAAAACAAAACACATTCTTTGCCATGTATTTCCCCTTCCCCCTATTCTTTTTACCACAGAATAACATTCTATCCCTTCCATGTGTTTCAGTACTGTGTTTGTGGTTTATTGTCTGTTTCCTTACAGTAGAAGGTAAACCATACAGAAGGTAGATATCTTTGCCTGACACCTAGTACGTGCTCAATAAATATTGACTGAATAAGGGAATGGAAAGATAAACAAGAAACGGGTCATAGTTATTATCCCCAGAGAGGGGAACTCAGATACTGGAGGTAAGTATGGGAAGCAGAAGTACATTAGAGTAAACACCCTGGTATACTTTGCACCACGTGCTTGTTAGCAGGTAAAGTTTTAATTATTTTTAGTTCTACCAATAGAGTGCAAGAACTAGAAGAAGTGACGCTTTAATGTGGTGCGACAGGAATGCTAAACAAAGATCATGGCTTGCCTCTGTCTGATCTTTCCTATTACAGTGAATTTCAAGGTCTCAGTTTTTGACATATATTTTTTGATATCATTTTGATACATGAAATTTTGATTGTATTGTGCAAGGGTTGACATAAACGGGAATATTGGGCTTGGAGATTCTTTTATAAGCACTTCACTGTCAAAATAAAGTTTTAATCTCAGTCCCATCGTAGTTGGAGGCACGATTTCTTGAGCCCTGCACTCCCAGATATAGAAACACATTTCTTCTTCCAAAGCAGTCAAGAGGTCCAGGCGAGCTGCTGGGTGTTGGGGAGTGAGGGAAAAGTTTGAGGGCACTGGGCCTGGTCAAAGGGCAATGGGAGTATTCCTGGGAGGTCTTGGAGGTTGGCTGCTGAACCTCTTGAAAAAGGTAGATTGGTGGGAGGCCTTCTTGGCCCGGAGCAGGTGGCGAGCCCGTCGCTGCTGCTGCAACCAGTAGAGCATCTCCACTTTGTCACACTTCATTTTGTCCAGGTAGTGCCGCCCCTTGAAGGTCACCGGTTCACCAAAGATTGACTCAATCTCCTCCAGGAGGGTGGCCAAAGAAGACTCCACTAGACTGAGCTGCCTGTGGAGATGGCTTCGGATCTGATTTTCCTCCAGGAAGTGACTCATGCCCAAGTCACTCTTTTGGAAGAAGCGGTTAGGGTTGGAGGCTTGTCGCTCAAACCACTCCAATCTCCCTAGGAATATCTCCCGCAGCTGAATGGGCTTCAGGGCCCGCTCCCAGGCACTCACCAACGAAGGCAGCTGTCTTAGACGGGCTTTGGAACTGTACTTGATGGCCATGTCTAGCCGGTCCTTGTTGGGGACCTCAAGCATGGACCATAGTCGCTCTAGACGCTTCTGCAGGCTCAGGATCTTGTGGGGTTCTCCCAGGTGGGTCTTCCCAGCTCCTAGCCTGTGTTCTAGTACTGTATTCCAGTCCCACTCTCCTGGCACAAAGTCTGGTTCTTCATCTTCTAGCAAGGGGGGAGGGTGCTGAATCTCTAGGGACTCTTTGACAGGGGCAACAATCTCCACGGGAATCTTTTCTTCATACATTTGGAAGATGACGTGGAGGAAATCTGTCTCCTGGCTGGTAAGGTACTTGAAATAGTCATCCACAGTCAAGGTGGTTTTGCACCAGTTCATCCATGAGGCCTTGTTGGACTGCCTGTCCCAGTTTTTGCTAGCTTGGGGTGATGGGACAGAGGGCGCCCTCTCGTCGTTGGACTGTAAAATGTTTGCTCTCTGGGAGTAAAGTCCATCCAGCTCAGGGTTGATAATTTGAGACTGTTTTTCTTGACGTAGAAAGGCTGAGAACAGGAAGGCCGACCAGTCTTTATCTGCCGCAGGCTCAATCAGGGGTCCCTTATCAAAACGGAGGTGGTCCATAGAGACACGGTTCATTAGCTCCTTGTAAACCTCCCTGGTACTACTGTCAACAAAGCGATCGATATCCATTTTTTCGATGACTTTGGGGTCCAGTTCATCAGCCAGGTGGTTGTACAGGACTCCGGCACCCTCAACGTGGAAAGAGTCCAAGAAGTTTCTATTAGAGAACTGTACAGCAGCTGCCTGGACCATGACCTCATTTCTTAGCTTCAAAGTCATAGTCACAGGTTGTGGTTGAAGTGGAGGGGATTTGGGAGGCTGGGGGTCCCACTTCCCAGAAGCTTCTTCCTCCTGGAGGTTCTTCAGTGTTCTCTGCAGCTCATCCATGTGATTCTCTGCAGCTGGACGGCGGGTCACCACTCCCAGGAGAGGCGGCAGGCCTGAGTCTAGCAGGGGGTAGTGAGTCCACTCCAACTTCATGTTCTTCATCAACTGCTTCAGATCCTCAGTCACGATGTCTCTGGCCAGCTCTGGTTTTCTCTCTGTAGTCAAGACCAGCGGGGTTAAGGGCCGAGATGGGAGTGGAGGGAGGCCTAGCTCATCTGCCAGCTTCCAGCCCTCACGCAGAGTGGGCATGGACTTGCCTCTCCGGAGTGGAAAGTAGACAGGTAAGGGAGGGAAAGAGGAAGCCCTGCGGGTGAGAGTCCCAGGGTAGCTGGGAAGTGACCCAATCTGTGGCGAACTGAAGTCGATTTCTCTCTCCTTTCCCACGGGGGGCGGCCAGCAGAGAGGCTTTCTCCTCTTCAGCTGGGGTAAGGACTTCAGCTCCTTCACCGGATCCGGGCCGGGCTCATTGAGAAACTCTAGCGGGCGGCTTAGCTGGATGAGGTAATTCAGGTTGAGGCTAGAGCATGGCACTTGGGCGAAGTCAATGCTGTGAGGCCAGGGGATTGGGCAGAGCTTGAAAGCCCCAGTGGGGCAGACGGGGCGCGGCTTGTTCACGACACCGTGGGCCTGCTCGACCTTCAGCAGGGCCTGGAAGTCGGCCAGCAGGTAACGGTAGACGTCGGGACTGGTGAGGAAGAGCGTGCAGTCCTTGGCGAGGCTGGCGGCCAACCGGGTGAGGATGGCCGATTCAGTGAAGACCCCTCTGGGTGTCGACATGGTCACCAGCAGGTGCAGGTAGCGTAAGAACAGCTGCTCACTGCTGAGCAGCACATAGGCCTCGAGCCGCTTCCGCAGTCTCTGGTTGTTTCTGTGGCTCAGACTGAGTTCGGGGGGAGGTTCCCGCCAGCTGCACTTTAGCTCGTCCAGGATGACCTCGATGAAACGAAGTCGGCCCTCGGGAGGCGCCCGCGCCGCCAGCCCGCTGCCGGTCAGCAGCTTGGCCACCTGGCGGCACAGCGATGCCACCGTCAGCTTCGCGAGAGGGACGGACTGCAGAATCCGGCCCTCCCGCGGGGGGCGCTTCTGAGGCTCTGGGGGTGTCTCCTTGGCGGGGAAGAGCGACAGCGGACGCAGCAGCCGGTGGTAAAACCGCTGGAGCTCAGTTTCGGGCCTGCGGGGCTCCATCTTAGCGCCGACGGTGCCCGCGGACCAGGCAGAGGACGCCAAATGGTTACCAGGGTAACCAGGGGCCCGACGGCTCGAGTGCGCCTGCGCGGCCCGTGTCCGCCACCCTGTGGACCACGGGAGCAGAGCCCTGCGTGTGCACGCACTAGGGGGCGGGGCAAAGGGTGGCTTTCGAGGCTCCGCCTCTCCGCGTTACCGCTTTGGGTTGGCGCTTCCGAAGTCTCGCTGCTGGGCTCCTCCGGCCGGGGACTGGGTCCGGGATGGCGTCGGACTCGGGGAGTCGTGGGACCCTCTGCACGGTGAGGGTCGAGACTTCGCGTGGAGTCCCGCTAGGCAGAGAGCCTCAGCCCCCGGCGTGGTTGTTATCTCGGGAAAAGGGAAAGGAGCGGGCACTTGGGGCGGGGCCGACCACCAGGTGAAACTAGGGTGCGAAGGGGGTAGCAGGGCCCCTGGCGTGAGTGTTGGGGGGCCGCTGCGGCCACAGCCCTGGAATGATAAGTGATAATGAAGAAGGTGCTTGAATAGAGGTTACGTGGGGCCTGTCCCCAAAGAGTGGTCAGAGGGAAGGTGGTGAAATAGACCTGTCCCCAGCTCTCATCGGCCGGTCCCTTGCCGCCCTTGCAGCTGGAGTTCGCTGTGCAGATGACCTGTCAGAGCTGTGTGGACGCAGTGCGCAAGTCCCTGCAAGGGGTGGCAGGTAAGACCCGGGTACACTTTTCTGCCGACAGCCCGGAGGCCCCTGGGAGAGTCCAGGCAAGCCTCTTAGGCCAGCCCTACTCCCATTTTACAGACGGAGATACAAACCCAGAGTGGAAGGAATGTCCTCAAGTCACACACAGACCCGGAAGCAGAGCTAGAGCACAGCTCCCAAGCTTGCTCTTCCAAAGCCCTCTTCTGGGTCTGTCTGTCCTGCTGCCCTGAAATTCAGGTGCCCTGAAGAGTGAGGCGCTAGGCTCTACATGAGTTCCCTGGAAAAGAGGCAGTTCTTGCTGGGGAAACAACATAATCTTGACAAAGCAAACAGCAGCCCTGGCCCAGTACCATCCTCAGTAGCTTCTGGGTCTTTAAAGGCCAGCTGGTCTGAAGGTGACCTGGCACAATGGGGAAGATCGAAGGCAGAGCCACCAGCGTGACGTTGGGAACTAGCTTCCTCTGATTCTGTTAAATGTTCATCCAGCGGGTGTCGTGGCTCACGCCTCTAATCCCAGCACTTTGGGAGACCAAGACGAGAGGATTGCCTGAGCTCAGGGGTTTGAGACCAGCCTGGGCAACTTGGCGAGACTGCATCTCTACAATAAATCAAAAAATTAGCTGGGCGTGGTGGCGCATGCCTGTAGTTTCAGCTACTTGAAAGGCTAAGGCGGAAGGATTGCCTGAAACCGGGAGATTGAGGCTGTGGTGGCTGTGCGCGTGCCACTGCACTCCAGCCTGGGTGACAGAGTGAGACTCCAACTCAAAACAAAACAAAAGTTGTTCATCCAGTCATTTGGCAGGTATGGACCAGACACTGGGGGCTTTTTAGGAAGAAGGGTTCACAGGTCTATTAGGTACAACCCTGTGGCATATACAGAACACTTCATGGACGAGCGGTCCTGAGAGTGAATGAGTTGAGACCAGTTCTAAAACTAGGACAGTGGTGGCACTGGACTCTAAGGGTGACAGGGTGCATAGTGGTCAGGGGCATGAGCTCTGGAGTCAGACTTGTTTGGGTTAAAATCCCCTCTTTGGCACTAAGACTTAATGCATATCAGTTTTTGTGTCTTCATTTCTCCAGTGTTTAAATGGGAATGATACTAGAAGCTACCAAGGAGGATTATCAGGAAGAGTAAATTAGTTAATACAGGTAAAGCACCTTAGAAAAATCTTTGGTATGTAGTAAGAGCCTAAGAAATCTTAGGGGATGATAAGATCTGTTTGGAGGGAGACTTGAGATCTGAAAGTTGAGTTTGCTTAGACTGTGTGTTTTGGGGTGGAACTGAGAGTCTGATAGAAATTGAGCCATTTCACCGAGAGTGAAGTGTTCTGACCAAAGCTGTCACATGGATGTAGGGCCCTTCACTTCCTATAAAACATTCTTACTGGCAGAGCAGACTGCTGGACTTTCTGTTGGGCCCAGGGCAATGTTCAGTCCTTTGCAGGTTTCTTAGGCACCAAATAAAGACTTCTGGTGACTCTCTGTGTTTTCTGGTCTGGATAGCTGGAACTGGCTTGCTTTCTTGTAGGGTGGGCGGGGAAGCGTTGTTTCCCAGAATGCATAGGGAGAGGGGAGAGTTGCCCTCTCCAGGAGGCCTTGGGAAAGAGGGTTGCACTCTCTTGCTGGGGTAAGCAAAAGGAGCTTCCAGCCCAAGACTCACCTCCTTGAATCTTTATCACTCACCCTGGAATTCCCTATGGCCTTCTCTTTTCTTCCTCACTGGTCTCTGAACTAACCAAGGCCTGGCCTGGCCACATTCTGAGGTTCACCAGCCAAAGTGAATTGCTGCTTAGCTGGGGAGCCAGCCTCCTTCTTGGTTCAGACTCAGGTCCAGAATTCAGAAGTTGCCAGGTACAGTGGCTCACACCTGTAATCCCAGCACTTTGGGAGGCTGAGGTGGGAGGATCACTTGAGGCCAGGAGTTCATGACTAGCCTGGACAACATAGCGAGACCCTCTCTACAAAAAAAAAAAAAAATTAGCTGAGCATGGTGGCACACACCTGTAGTCACAACTACTGCAGAGGCTGAGCTGAGAGGATTGCTTGAGCCCAGGAGTTCAAGCCTGCAGTGAGCCGTGACCCAGCCACTGCATTCTAGCCTGGGTGACAAAGGGAAACTCTGTCTTAAAAAAAAAAAATTCAGGAGGTGAATAGTTACAAGAGCTTCCCACTTTGGGCTCTCCTACTACAGGAGAAGAGAATCCTGGGAGATCCCAGGGTCTAATAATCCACCCACACTGAGGCCAGTCCATCAGGGAGTCTTATTTGCTGTGTGTCCAAAACATACTCAAGCCTCCACGCTGATCCAAGCCACCCGGTGTCTCCCCAGTCCATATAAGAACCTCATCTGTGGGCTCTTTGTGCTTCTGGTATCCCTTCGAGTGACTTTTCCACTTAAAAGCCAGGGATATTTTTGAAAATTATCCCTCATGGCATGAAAGCTATGTCAGAGTCTTTCCGTGAGTGTGTGTGAGACTTATCCCGCCGGCTTGTGTACACAGGGGCGACTTCAGTAGTTGCCAGGGCAGTGGGGGACTCCATAGGCTCTTATTCTGACACGCTGACGTTTGAACTTGACCCTTGGAACCACACAGAGCTGAGTGAAACATACACTTCACACACTGTTACAATGCAGTCAGTGCAATGTGAGTTACTCCAGGGAAGTGAGGGCCTAGGGGATGCTTCCTAGGGTAAGTGCTGGGGTCATTACTTGGGCTCTGGAGCTAGGTTACCTGGGCTGAGTTCCAGTTCTGCAACTTACTACAGTGTGACTTTGAGCTAGTTTAAACTCTCTGTGCCTCAGTTTTCTTTTTTTGGGGGGGTCCGAGTCTCACTCTGTCGCCCAGGCTGGAGTGCAGTGGCACGCTCACAGCCACCGCAGCCTCAACCTGCTGGACTCAGGCGATCCTTCCACCTCAGCCTTTCAAGTAGCCAGAACTACAGGCACGCACCACCATGCCTGGCTACTTTTGATTTTTTTTGTAGAGATGAGGTCTCACCAAGTTGCCCAGGTTGGTGTCCAACTCCTGACCTCAGGCAATTCTCTCATCTCTGCCTCTCAAAATGCTGGGATTACAGACTTGAGTCCCCACACCTGGCTGTGCCTCAGTTTTCTTATCTGTAAAATAGGGTTAAAAGTACCTAACTCACAGGGTTGCTAGGAATATCAAATGAAATCACACAGGTAAAACACATAAAAGAGGGCCTGGCTCACAGTGTGTGCCAGGTAAATATCAGCTCTCTTGATATTTGTGATAGTCCCCATTTTTAAAAAATGTGTTACAGCTTTATTTAGATGTAATTCATATGCCACAAAATGTATACTTAGCCAGACTCAGTGGCTCACACCTGTAATCCCAGCACTTTGGGAGGTGGAGGTGAGAGGATTGCCTGAGCCCATGGATTTGAGGCTAACCTGGGCAAGGTGACAAGACCTCGTCTCTACAATAAATCAAAAAATTAGCTGGGCATGGTGGCGCATGCCTGTAGTTCCAGCTACTTGGAAGCCTCAGGCAGAAGGATCTCTTGAGCCCAGCAGGTCAAGGCTGTGGTGGCCGTGAGCATTCCACTGCACTCCAGCCTGGACAACAGATTGAGACTCTGACTCAAAATAATAATAATAATAAAACAGACTCAGAGAGGTTACACAGCTAGAAGGTCGCTTCTGAGCTTGCCTCTGGCCATGGGAAGGTTGGTGGAGATGGGAATGGAGAATCACTGCCTATTTCTCTCTTCCCTGTTGCCAACACGGGGTGCCTGCCCTATGCTGCCCTCTGCCCTCCCTCTCCTTCCAGGCATCCAGGATGTGGAGGTACACTTGGAGAACCAGATGGTCTTGGTGCAGACCACCCTGCCCAGCCAGAAGGTGCAGGCCCTTCTGGAAGGCACGGGGCGGCAGGCAGTACTCAAGGGCATGGGCGGCAGCCAGTTGCGTGAGTGACCACGGTGACCTTGGCCTCAGTCTTTCTGGGAGGGAGGTGGCCCAGAGCTGGTATAAATCTAACCACAGGCTTCTTGGGTTCTGGGTTGGAGTGACTTTGAGGAAGGCACGAAAGTTTTGTGCAACTCTTTCCATGTCCTTCCTGAGCTCACAAAGCGGTGCAGCTGAGGGAGGCTGCAAGCCAACCAAGTGTCTGATACCTTGCAGAGAATCTGGGGGCAGCAGTGGCCATTCTAGGGGGGCCTGGCATCGTGCAGGGGGTGGTACGCTTCCTACAGCTAACCCCTGAGCGCTGCCTCATCGAAGGAACTATTGATGGCCTGGAGCCTGGGTTGCATGGACTCCATGTTCATCAATATGGGGACCTCACAAAGAACTGCAACAGGTAAGTGGTCTGAAATCTCTCTTGTAGCATGCTTGGCTACACATTTTCACACTTGGTCCTCGCAAGTCCCCTGTGAGGCACATACACACAGGCCCAATCTCCAGATGAATGAATGAATGAAACAAAGGTAGATAGTTAGAAGACTCAGAGTGGTTAAGTGACTTGCCAAAGTCCCAGAGCATGTAAAAGATGGAGCTGGGATTTGAGTCAAGATCCAATCTTGAGACTCCCACTCATAATCGCCTTACTGCCTCTGAGATGGAAGAGAATTCCTGGACACAGGCAGGGAAGGGACCCTTACCGTGGTGTTTGTCATGCTGTGATATAACTGGTTGTTTACTCATCTGTGTCTTCCCTGGACCAGAAGCTTTTTTTTTTTTTTTTGATTTTTTTTTTTTTTTTTAGTCGGAGTCTCACTCTGTGGCCCAGGCTGGAGCGCAGTGGCATGCTCACCACCACCTCAGCCTCGACCTGCTGGACTCAGGTGATCCTTCTGCTTCAGCCTTCCAAGTTGCTAGAACTATAATTACCTGGCCACCATGCCCAGGTAATTCTTTTGATTTGTTGTAGAAACGAGGTTTCACCATGTTGCCCATGCTAGCCTCGAACCCATGGGCTCAGGCAATCCTCTTGTCTCTGCCTCCTAAAGTGCTGGGATTATAGGCGTGAGTCACTGACCTGGCAACCAGAAGCTTATTGAGGACAGGACCTATGTCCGTTTTTTTTTTTTCCTCTTGAGTTGGAGTCTCACTCTGTTTCCCAGGCTGGAGTGCAGTGGCATACTCATGGCCACCTCAGCCTCAACCTGCTGGGCTCAGGTGATCCTTCTGTCTCAGCCTTCCAAGCAGCTGAAACTACAGGCATGCGCCACCACACCAGGCTAATTTTTTGATTTATCGTAGAGATGAGGTCTTGCCAAGTTGCCTAGGCTGGTCTCAAACCCATGATCTCGGGCAGTCCTTTCACCTTGTCCTCCCAAAGGGCTGGGGTTATAGGCATGAGCCACCATACCCAGCCCGAAAGTAGGATTTATTAAGACAGAAACGCTTCCATAGTGGGTGGGGACCTGAAAGAGGTTCGGGACCCATGTCCTGTTTTCTATGCCCTCTGCCCAAAGTCTAGCACAGAGTAGGCCTGTTTGTTGAGTGAATGAATGAAACAAAGGCGGATAGATAAGAGAGTGGACTGCCTGGCCTGTGAACTGCATTGTTGCCCACCTACTACCTTTCCTTCTTAGCTGTGGGGACCACTTTAACCCTGATGGAACGTCTCATGGGAGCCCCCAGGACTCTGAACGGGTAAGTGTAGGGCTGGGCTTGGGGTTGCCCTTGGGCTGGGAGAGAGCCCAAGGCAGGGCAGGCAGCCCTTTAGTTTGGAAACATGTACTGACACTTTCTGTGATCAAGCCCCAGGGGATACAATAGCATACAGCCTAGTGCCTGATGACCCTAAGGAGCTCGCAGTCCAGAGAGGGAGATCACTGTATTCCTTGGCTTCTGGGCAGTGAAATAATCCTTGCAGGAGCCTGCAGGAGGCCCCGGGAGCCCAGAGTGAGGGGAGCCTGAGGTGCAGGGGCAGTGGGAGAAAACTTCTTGGAAAAGGGGCGGTGTCGATGTTGAAGGCTTTTGTTTTATTTTTTGAGTTGGAGTCTCACTCCCGTCGCCCTGGCTTGGAGTGCAATGGCACGCTCACGGCCACTGCAGCCTTGACCTGCTGGGCTCAGGTGAGCCTTCCACCTCAGCCTTCCAAGTAGCGGGAACTGCAGGTGTGTAACATCATGCCTGGCTAATTTTTTAAAATTTATTGTAGAGATAAGGTCTCAACAAGTTGCTTGGGCTGGTCTCAAATTCCTGGGCTCAGGCAATTATCTTCTCTCCACCTCCCAAAGCGCTGGGAATACAGGCATGAGCCACCACACCCAGCTAAGATTTTTCTGTTCAGTTCATTGCACAGTGCCACATTTATGCTCAGTGTATTCGTGATCTATTGCTGCAAATCAGATGCCTCAAAGTCAGGAGTTTAAAACAACAAAATGTATTATCTCATGGTTTTTCTGGGGCAGGAATCCGTGTGTGGCCCAGCAGGCGCCTGTGGCTCAGGGCTGTCGTGAGGCTGCAGTCATCTCAGGGTTCCACGTGGGCAGGATCTGCTTCCAAGCTTGCTCGTGTTGTTGTTGGCAGGCTGCAGGCCCTCCCTGGCTGTCGGCCAGAGACATCAGTCCTTTGCCATGTGGGCCTCTCCCTAGTGCTGCTCACAACATGGCAGCTGGCTTTTCTCAGAGCGAGCGAGTGAGAGAGCGAGTGGCCAAGACTGAACCACATTCTTTTTGTAACCCAATCTTGGAAGTGACACTGGGTCCAGTCCACAGGGGCTAAATCACACAAGCATGTGACTACATGACAGAGGCTGTTCGCCTCATTGAGCCTTGAAAGATGCTTGGCAGGAAGTGAGCAGGTGAAGAGGGTGAGAGTGGGAATGGCGGGCTCGGCAGAGGCAGGAAATTGCCTCAGCAAAGCCTTGGTGTGATTGAGAAGGGGAGAGACCACCTTGTGGCCTGTGTCTTCACCCAAGACCACTTGGCATACAGGGACTCAGAAGGGGCTGACGTCAGACCAGGAAGAACTGAGAAAGAGCTGAGTGGCCAAGGTTGCCTTGATGACTGGCAAGCTCTTTCTGGGTTTCAGCCCCTGGTTTTCCCAGATAGAAAAGAATTCACTGTGGGAATTTACATCCAAGCCTGGTTATCCCTTACACACCTCCTAACTAATCTCTTAGCCTCCTTCCCTTCCCTCTTCAACCCCCCAGTCCTTCTTTGTCATTTGCTGTACTAGAGGGATTGTTCTGAGCCTTTCCACCCCCCCAAACCCTTCCGACTCCCCAATACCTGAGGGTACAGGCTGGGCCCAGCTTCTTGGTGTGACATTCAAGACTCCCCTCCCCTGCCCAGTTATACATGCCTATGTGCTGAGGAGAGAGACTACAAAGGCTGTCTCTCCCCGACTGCCTGCTGGCTCATGCCAGACACGCTGCTCCAGTGCCCTCTCAGCCCAGCCCCCAAAATGTTCCTCAAGGCTGTGTGTCACCTCCTCCTTCTTGATCTTTCTACCATGAAAGTCCTCAACACAGAGTGTAACAACAAGTGCCAGGTGCAAGCAGCAGATGTCCATCTGGGAAAAGAAAAAACAAGATAAAGCAGAACTGGGACTTCTTGCTACTCTATTTCATTACACAGTGAAATGTCTTGTTATTTAGCAACGTGGTCATGGGAACCTACCCACACTGGCACAGGCACTTGTTTCTGCCCGAAGTGTCAGGTTGGGGACAATTTATTTGCACAGATGTGGGTTTCTGTGGCTCACCAGTAAAGTCTTGTCATCCTATAACACATCAACTGTTGTATTCACCCTGTGTTTCTTCTTTTTTTTGAGTTGGAATCTTAACTCTGTCACCTAGGCTGGAGGGCAGTGGCATGCTCACGGCCACTGCAGTCTCGACCTGCTAGGTTCAGGTGATCCTCCTGCCTCAACCTTCCAAGTAGCTGGAACCACAGGCATGCACCACCACACCTGCCAAATTTTTTTTTTTTTTGAGTTGGAGTCTCACTCTGTCACCCAGACTGGAGTGCAGTGGCCATTCCTGGCCACTGCAGCCTCGACCTTCTAGGCTCCGGCGATCCTTCTGCCTCAGCCTTCCGAGTAGCTGGAATTACAGGCGCTACCACGCCTGGCTGATTTTTTTATTTATTGTAGAGATGAGGTCTTGCTGCCCAGGCAGGTCTCGAACCCGCAGGCTCAGGCAATCCGCTCACCTCAGCCTCCCAAAGGCGGGGGATTATAAGGTGAGCCACCAAGCCTGGCTAATTTTTTGATTTATTGTAGAGACAAGGTCTCGCCAAGTTGCCCAGGCTGGTCTCAAACCCCTGGACTCAGGCAGTCCTCTCACCTCTGCCTCCAAAAGTGCTGGGATGACAGGCGTGAGCCACTGCTCCCAGCTTATCTTGTGTTTCAGTCACTAGTCTATTCCATATCTGGCTCCCCAATATGTTGTGAGTCCTTTGAGGGTGGTGACCTTACATACTCCCTGCCATGCCTGGCACAGTGCATCAGATGTTGGAGGTGCTCAGTAGATGTGTTGTGACAAGTCTTATTACCTTCGAGGAGAAGGTGGGGAGAGCTAGCTTCTGGAGGCCAGGACAGGCGCTTTGCCCTTTTGGATTTCTTTCTAACCCTTGAGGCTAGGAGCCAGGAGAATGATGCAGGGAAGCCAAGCTTGGCTTACATAAGTCTGTGGAAATTGAAGGCAGCCAAGGGCTCACAGAGCCATCAAGAGGCTAGAGAACTGGGCTCATTAGAGGCTGGGAAGCAGAACTGAGCAACAACCTCATAGGAGAAACTGTGTGGTCCTGAAGGGATGACTGCACAAACAGGGGGAACTTCCACTGGCCCTTTAGCACACTGGCATTCTGTCTAGGATTTCAGTTCCAGGGAGGGCATGTCCAAATGCCTTCTTGAGTTTTGGACCATACCTTGGTCCTATCAGGCTGTACCCACCTGAGGAAATTGACACTTGGGGAAGTGGGAAGAAGCATCAGATACTGGGAAGCCAGAAGATAGCAGCTTTGACCCACATGGCCCGTCCCCCTTCACCGGGTCTCATTCCAGCATCGTGGAGACCTGGGCAATGTCCACGCTGATGCTGATGGCCGTGCCATCTTCAGGATGGAGGATGAGCAACTGAAGGTAAGGGGAAAAGAAGGTGGACACCCTTTCAAGCAGGGTCCACTGTCCAAGGCTGTCGTCTCCCCTCAAAGGTGTGGGACGTGATTGGCCGCAGCCTGGTTGTCGATGAGAGAGAAGATGACCTGGGCCGGGGCGGCCATCCTTTATCCAAGATCACAGGGAACTCCGGGGAGAGGTGAGTAGAGTTGCCCCCAGCAGAGACTGTGCTTGGCCATTGGTGCATGTAGAACCCCAGGGGGCCCAAACGAGTACCACCCTTGACCACACACTCTTCCATAGGTTGGCCTGTGGCATCATCGCACGCTCCGCTGGCCTCTTCCAGAACCCCAAGCAGATCTGCTCCTGCGATGGCCTCACGATCTGGGAGGAACGAGGCCGGCCTATCGCTGGTGAGGGCCGAAAGGGGCCAGCCCAGCCCCCTGCCCACCTTTAAGCAGGACCTCGTCTCACCTCTGTTGCTGTCCTCTCAGCCAAGCATCTTCTCCTTCAAAGGGGCAGAGGGGACCTTGCTTGCCCATTCCTAGGAGAACTTTGTACAGAGTAGGAGTCACTGTGATGTTCTCTTGGCACATTAAAGTTTTATTTTCATATGAAATTGCATTTTGTGTGTGTCTTCATGCCCCTTATGGGCTTGATAAACATATTTCTGCCTCTGCATCCAGGGCCACCCCTTAGCTTTGGAACCAAACAAACCTGGATTCAAATTCATGTGTACCCTGAGGGCCCTATCTTCCTCTTTGGGGCCATAATGAAGGGTCACAGGAGCCAAATTTCTGTTTTTGGCCTGCCGTCCCTTACTGAGACTGGATCCGAAATGGACACCTGACCTATGCTGGGTCATGCTTTCACTGAGAAACCCGAGCAGATCTAGCCTTAGTTTCTTCCTGTGGTTGGACCCATAATGTGGGAACATGGGAAATTCTGATGGATCTCTCCTCTCTGCCTTGTTGTTGACGGAGTATCAGAAAAAGCCAGCCTGAGGCCAGGCTCGGTGGCTCAGCCTATAATCCCAGCACCTTGGGAGGCCGAGGCGAGCGGGTTGCCTGAGCCCATGGGTTCGAGACCAGCCCAGGCAACTTGACGAGACCTCATCTCTACAATAAATCAAAAATTAGCCGGGTGTGGTAGCACGCGCCTGTAGTTCCGGCTACTTGGAAGGCAGAGGCAGAAGGATCGCCAGAGCCCAGCAGGTCGACGCTAGGGTAGCCGTGAGTATGCTACTGCACTCCAGCCTGGACGACAGAGTGAGACTCCAACTCAAAAAAAAAAAAAAAAAAGTCAGCCTGAGGAGGAGGGGGGATGAGGCAGATGCAGAGAGAACCTAAGAGTTTCTGGAGAATCCCAGTTGCTCTGGAGTCCCCCTCTGGCTAGCTGCCTACCCTGCGATCCAAGAGACACTTCTGTCTCCTCCCAAGGCATCCCCCCTTTAAAAAAAATTAATCTAGCTTCGAGACCCGCCTGGGCAACTTGGTGAGACCTCATCTTTACAATAAAAAAAAATTAGCCGGGCATGGTAGCGCACGCCTGTTGTTCCTGCTACTTGGAAGGCTGAGGCGGAAGGATCGCCGGAGCCAGCAGGTTGAGGCTGTGGTGGCCGGGAGCGGCCACTGCACTCCAGTCTGGGTGACAGAGTGAGACTCCAACTCAAAAAAAAAAAAAAATTAATCTAGCTTGAGTCGATTTATTTTACCCACAAGTAGAAGACTATTAATTAACCTAATAATTAAGCAAAGTGCTTGGCACACAGCCTGGCACAGTCAGTTGAGGGAACAGGGGCTGTGACTCTGAGGCCACACAGGGCCCTTGCAGGCAGCCCCAGCAAAGCTCTCCTCTCGTACAGATGGATGGCTGCCAACCATTGTACAGTTTGTGGGGCCTCTGGTTCAGGGCCTACCTATTCTGTCCCCCTTTTCTGGCCCACCCCCACTGGCCGGGTTGCCTATCCTTACCAAAGCTGCTTTTGTAACAGGGTGAGTCGGGCTACAAACTTTGCCCCTGGGCTGCTTGCTTGGAACCAAGCAGTATTACAGTTAGTCGGCCTTGACTTTGAGGCCCCTGGCTCTGCTCCCATTCCCCAGGCCCTGCCTGTTTCCTTCTTCAAGGCTGCTGGCTCTGCCTCTAGCCCCAACCCTTGGACCCTGTTCTCTTGCCAAACCTGTGCTGGTTGTTTGCCAACTCCCTTTGGTTCCTGGGCCCAAGCTGTCTTTGCCTACTTCCAGGTCATTGCAAAAACTTCTGGACGCTTCCCACAGCCAACATCCCCTGACACCCTCTTACTTCGATTCTAGAATTATAGCTGGGTTTAACTCTTTTATGGCTAACCTGCTTGCCATCCCCTACCGCTCTGTTAACCTCTTTTTTTTTTGAGTTGGAGTCTCACTCCGTTGCCCAGACTGGAGTGCAGTGGCCGCTCCCGACCACCGCAGCCTTGACCTGCTGGGCTCCGGCGATCCTTCCGCCTCAGCCTTCCAAGTAGCAGGAACTACAGGTGCGTGCTACCACGCCTGGCTGATGTTTTATTTTTATTGTAGAGATGAGGTCTCGTCAAGTTGCCCAGGTGGGTCTCGAATCCATGGGCTCAGACAGTTCACTCACCTCAGCCTCCCAAGGCGTGGGATTACAGGCTGAGCCACCGAGCCCGGTTCTGTTAACTTCTTTTTTTGGGGGGGGGTTGGAGTCTCACTCTGTCGCCCAGACTGGAGTGTAATGGCCGCTCCCAGCCACCGCAGCCTCGCCTGCTGGGCTCCAGCGATCCTTCTGCCTCAGCCTTCCGAGTAGCGGGAATTACAGGCACGCGCTACCACACCCGGCTGATTCTGTTAACCTCTTAATCAACATTCTCATGATCTTTTCTCTCTCTCTTTTTTTTGAGTTGGAGTCTCACTCTGTCACCCAAACTGGAGTGCAATGGCATGCTCCCGGCCACTGCAGCCTCGACCTGCTGGGCTCTGGCTATCCTTCCGCATCAGTCTTCCAAGTAGCCGAAACTACAGGCGCTCGCTACCATATCCAGCTAATTTTTTATTTATTGTAGAGAGAAGGTCTTGCCAAGTTGCCTGGGCAGGTATTGAACCTATGGGCTCAGTCAGTCCACTCGCCTCGGTCTCCCAAAGCACTGGGATTACAGGCTGAGCCACTGAGCCTGGCTGATCTTTTCTCTCTTGAACTCCTAGCTGTGTGCTTTTTCAATCATTTTTAGATCACGAACATTGTTCATAAATCTTTTTTTTTTTTTTTCAGTTGGAGTCTCTCTTCATCACCCAGGGTGGAGTGCAGGGGCACACTCAGTCACCACAGCCTTGACCTGCTAGGTTTAGGCGATCCTTCCACCTCAGCCTTTCTTTTTTTTTTTCAGTTGGAGTCTCACTCTGCTACCCACACTGCAGTGCAGTGGCCGCTCCCGGCCACCGCAGCCTTGACCTGCTGGGCTCCTGCAATCCTTCCACCTCAGCCTTCCGAGTAGCCAGAATTACAGGCATGTGCTACCATGCCTGGCTGATTTTTTCATTTATTGTAGAGATGAGGTTTTGCCAAGTTGCCCAGGCTAGTCTCGAACCCCTGGGCTCAGAAAGTCCTCTCACCTCGGCCTCCCAAAGTGCTAGGATTGCAGGCTTGAGCCACCATGCCCGTCTTGTTCAAACATCTTGAAGCCCAATCTGCAAAACAGAAGTGGAACTACAGATAAAGATGCTTAGCTTTGTCCAAGGGCTTCCCCAAGCCGTGGAGCTCCAGGGAGCACAGGTGTTTTTGTGCTACCTCTCACCTTCAGCCATGTCTACAAATCATCTGTACTATAATTTACCAAATATTTTTCTTTAAATTGATTCATTTTTAAACTTAATTTAAGCTGGACATGGTGGCTCATGCCTGTAATCCCAGCACTTTGGGAGGCAGAAGTGAGAAGATTGCCTGAGCCCAGGAGCTTGAGACCAGCTTGGACAACTTGGCGAGACCTCATCTTTACAATAAACCAAAAAATTAGCCAGGTATGGTGGCACGCACCTGTAGTTTCAGCTACTTGGAAGGATGAGATGGAAGAATTGCCTGAGCCCAGGAGGTTAAGACCACAGTAACCATAAGCATGTCACTGCCTTCCAGTCTGGGTGACAGAATGAGACTCTGACTCAAAAAACCCCCACAAAAACAAAAACACCTTAATTTTAAAAGGAATTTTTAATTGTATTAGTGAATATCAGTATATCTGTATAGTGTCTACTGTATAATACTGTTAAGTTCGAGGCTGTGTTCTAAACACTTTAAATGCAGAAATTCATTTAATCCTCATGACAGTACTATGAGGTAAGTGCTATTTTTTTTTTTTTTTTTTGAGTTGGAGTCTCACTCCTTCACCCAGGCTGGAGTGCAGTGGCACGCATGCTCACAGCCACCCCAACATCAACCTGCTAGGCTCCGGTGATCCTTCCACCTCAGTCTTCAAAGTAGCTGGAACTACAGGTGCCTGCTACCATGCTCAGCTAATTTTTTATTTATTTATTGTAGAAATGAGGTTTCACCAAGTTGCCGGGCTAGTCTCGAACCCATGGGCTCAGGCAATCCACTCGCCTCAGCCTCCCAAAGTGCTGGGATTACAGGCTGAGCCACCGAGCCCTGGCAGTAAGTGCTATTATTATCCCATGTTACAGATGAGAAAACTAAAGCACCGAGTGGTTATATACCTTGCCTGTGTTCACACAGCAAAGTCTACATTCAGACACAGGTGGTATGGCTCCAAGTCTGTGCTTTTAACCAGTAAATTGATTCTCATTGTAAAGTGTGGAAAGCAAGATTCATTTGTTATAAATAGAAATTTTGTTTTAAAAAAAGCAAATACAAAGTTAGTAAAGGCCAGGCATGGTGACTCACGCCTGTAATCCCAGCACTTTGGGAGGCGGAAGCAGGAGTATCGCCTGAACCCAGGGGTTTAAGATGAGCCTGGGCAACGTGGCGAGACCTCGTCTCTACAATAAAACAAAAATATCAACCGGGTGTGGTGGCACGTGTCTGTGGTTTCAGCAACTTGGAAGGCTGAGGTGGAAGGATTGCCTGAGCCCAGCAGGTTGAGATTGTGGTGGTCGTGAGTGTGCCACTGCACTCTGCCCTGGCCAACAGAGTGAGACCTCTACTCAAAAAAAAAAAAAAATAGTTGGGGGGAGGCGTGGTGGCTCAAGCTTATAATTCCAGCACTTTGAGAGGCTGAGGCTAGGGAATTGCCTGAACCCATGGGTTCAGGACCAGCCTGGGCAACTTGGCAAGACCTCATCTCTACAATAAATCAAAAAATTAGCCGGGCATGGTAGTGCATGCCTATAGTTCCAGCTACTTGGAAGGCTGAGGCAGAAGGATCGCAGGAGCCCAGCAGGCTAACGTTGGGGTGGCCACGAGCATGCCACTGCACTACAGCCTGGGCAACGGAGTGAGACTCCAACTCAAAAGAAAAAAAAAAAAGACAGCTACTAAAATTAATTATTTTTGATTGATTATTATGAACTGCCCCAAATGGTATGTCCCTCCGATGGTTTCTGTGAAGTTGTTGCCTCAGTGGACCCTCCATCCAGCTCCATTATCCTTTTTCTAGAGACCTCCTGTCTTTTT